CGTTTTCAAGTTTTTCATGCATGTCAATTGATTTTGTAATATGCTATGAAAGCATCTCTTAATCTCTTTTTGACGGATTTCCTATATGGACTTTCCTTACTCGTTGGTTCAAATTTTAACGCAAAAGCAATATCAGCAGAATCCATTGATGGTGTGTAGCATGAAAATAGGAGAATCATTTTTTGATTATGACTGCAGCATTATTGGTTTAATTTCCTTCCTTCATAATATTCATATTCATAATTGCAAAACAAATRAAACATGGTATACACCATATAAGGAGCACGTCCGATAATTAAACGTTCTTGTGGTAGTAATAAGCAATAGCTATCTGACATTGCGACCTGAATAGACTAAAATTAACACAACAGTAGAAGAAAAAGAAAAGAAAAAAAAACAAACAAAAAAACACACACAAAGCCAGAATTTTTCAGCCAATCCGGCACTTTCAGCATTTCTTTTTCTTCCAATAAATTCCAAGGATAGTAAACCAGCCGTGTCGACTTGGTACTAATTTCAACCACGCGTTGTTCCAATTTGAGGTATTAATTACCTCTCGAATGTGTGCAATGGCACCACTGTTTTTTCCTTTCATCCTTATCAGCTTTCTTAYACTTATGACAGTAGCTTCTCCTGCAAGCTCTGGTAAATACACCCTTGGGTAAGGCTCTTCGTCCACGACTGATTTAGAAAATCTGTTTACGGATCTTAGTGTAGCTCGCATAAATGGAAAAGCTGACAACGCAATCCTCACTATGATTTCTAAAACATCGTTGTTTAGAAGCTGAAGATTATTATCATCATTCTCGACATCAAGTACAGGGTTTTCATCATTATCAGCGTCAGGTCCAGGGTTTTCATCATTATCAACGTCAGGTCCAGGGTTTTTATCATTATCAGCGTCAGGTCCAGGGTTTTCATCATTATCAGCGTCAGGTCCAGGGTTTTCATCATTATCAGCGTCAGGTCCAGTGTTTTCATCATTATCAGCGTCAGGTCCAGGGTTTTCATCATTATCAGCGTCAGGTCCAGGGTTTTCATCATTATCAGCGTCAGGTCCAGGGTTTTCATCATTATCAGCGTCAGGTCCGGTGTTTTCATCATTATCAGCGTCAGAGGTCCAGTGTTTTCATCGTTATCAGCGTCAGGACCAGGGTTTTCATCATCATAATCTGCATCAGTACCCACGTTGTGAGAATCTAAGACGGGAGCAATACTAACGTAATGCTCACTTTGGTTCTCAGCAAAGTGACCAAGATAAAGCGCTGTTACGGGGCCGCCAGATGAAGGATGAAAAACGTGTTGTGCTCCGACTCCAAGTGACGATACCACATGAACGTCAACATTGAATATATTTGCAGCTGCAAACAAAGTTATTTGGTCACCAAAAGTGTGTTCGTTAGCCATGTGGTTGATGTATTCGTTCCAAGATTG